CATACGCACCAGCAAACTCGATAATTGATAGCTACACGCGCGGTAATGTCACGTAGATCAAAGGCCAAACACGTCGTTTTTTTTTTTTTTCTTGAGAAAAACAATCCTCGTCAAGCTCGAATAAAGCTCAAGCTGTGTAAAAACACTGAAGACCAGTAAGATTACTTTCTACCATTCGCAGCAATATTCCGACATGTTGATTCGCATGCAAAGCCATACTCTTTACATCCTCAAAAGTAAGACAGATTCCGCTGCGTAACAAGAGCTCAACAGCAAGATCAATTAACGCAATGATTCAGTGCAGGTGTCGTCGACAGACGAAATAGGCAGACAGTCGCGGACTCACCTTGAGGAGTTGGGGGTTGGTGATGATGATGATGATGATGATCGTGATAATGTTGGTGGTGGTGATGGTGGTGATGATGATTGTGGTTATGATTCTGATTGGCAGGAAGCGGAGGTAACACTGCTACCGCGTGAGAAAATGGGGGCGCTCCACCTCTTATAACAGACCCTGCACCATACAGAGGCCACATACGACATTCTTTTTTTTTTTACAAAATTTACAAATTTGTGCCGTTGTATGCCGGAAAACCCGAAGAGATCCTCGGAACGAATCGTCTTTACGTGATGCAAATTTTCTCGAAAGACTCGGCGCATGATTAAAACGAGTTACGCCTGAATTTACCACCAGCGTGATTAAGCGAATAGTAATAAGCTGTAAAGCGAATCTTTTATATACAGAAGCGGTTAAGTACCTTAAGAGAAGCAGTTGAAAGCACAATTTTGTTACGCTATACGCAACGCTCGGTATATATCATTACGCGAGTATCATTACAAAAGCGTACGCAACGTTAATATTCTGTAATATTTAAATTTTTATACACTCGTATAAGAGACATTTACGATGGTATATTCGATGCTTGGAAATATGTGGCCATGGGACATACGTTTTTCAGCGATAAAATTTAGTCAGTAGACATAAATGATAAATAATTATACAAAATGATAAGATAACATATCAACAGAAACTCCTGCTAATATTTAAATTCGACAAATCAGTAATTAAAAAAATATGTATATTTATAATTGGAAATAATTTATAAACTCACAAATCGTAACTACAAATATATTCAAAACATTAAAATCGCAATTCTGATTAATTTCAATTGTTTAATTTGCAACGCTACAGCATCAAACATAAAGGATTCACTTCCGTACATATAGCAAAATCTATATATGTATATATATATACACACACACATCAAAATTTATGTGGTTTTGATTCTAGATACTATCAACAGTACTATCACTCGACACACAAAACGACTATGTAACACGTACTCGCTTGGTAGCATAAAAATAGACGGTTAATGCAAAAACTAAAGCCGGTATAATATAATATAAAATAAAATAAAATAAAATAAAATAAAATAAAATGTAAAAAAAACAGACAGCGGATGGGTGTGTAAACGACCGTGTAATCTCAAAAGTGTATCCAGCTCTCATCGCGAGCGCGTCAAGAGAAAATTCGATTTCCAGTATCCGGTCCGGTTCGGTCCGGCGGTGGACACCGCGACAGAGAAATTACCATGTCTCTACTACTCTACTACGGATATATCTCTACGGATCGGGCAAGAGGAACAGCACACGAGCACACAATCCGCGAGCCATAATCCGTTTTCTCGTTTCACGCTCGAGTTTTTTTTTTTTTGATTACGTACCTTGCAGAGCGGAGTGCCGTCTTTGCGATGGCGGTGGGCTGCCGCCCGCTTCCACGCTGCTCCCGCTATGGCTGTCCAGTTGAGTGCTATGACCACTGTCACTGCTCGTCACCGAACCTACGCACAGGTTCCCAAGACACTTCTATCACTACACACGTTCTAACCGAAGGGATTACGCCCTGATGCGATCGCTAAACGCCTCTATCGCCACAATCGCGACGTTCCTTTCGCCTCATTCGTATCTTTTTGAGTAATTCGTATCTTTCCATCTCGCGGAGAGCCAACGCGCAAAACCTAAACTCGTTATCTCGCTATGCACATCCAAATGCACATCTCTCGCACGTTCGATTCCTATCTCTTTCCTTCTGCCGTGTACAAGCGTTTATAATCTATCACTAACAGAGCGTAATCGGAATGAATATATCTTACATGCACGATTGTACAAATCTATTAAAATCGTAATTGACTTATCGCGATCTCTCGTATAACGAATATCAATCAAATATCTTTTCATTGTGCTCATTTAAATATTTAAAATTTAAAATTTAACCGAAATTGCCAAAACTGTGCAAATTATTTTAGTTGCGAAATAAAATTATTACAATTTATCGATGACTTTCTATTTCTATTGCGTAAAAGCAGCGCTGTAGATATCGATATTATTAAAAATACAATTCCGTATGTCCCATGGTATGAGAGTCGAAATCGTAGTTCATAGACTCGAGATATCTGTGGCGTTTGACCGAAAAGAAAAGCTCGCGCTACAAGATGCGTGTATGAATAATCGGCATACAGGATGCGTATATGAGTGTATGTGTGTATATATGGATCAACTAAATAACATGGAACATTTATAAATTGCGTAAACGGCTGTGCAGCGTGCATAAAAATGAGACTCCTTATTGCGAGAGAGACCTGACCAGTGTACGTAACGAGCAATGAAGATGCGTGATGGTGCTTCGCGAGATGCGTGTCTACCAAGTTGATATTTAATCGATTAACAGTCTATCGGCTGTCAGTACGATCTAGAAAGTTATAAAAAAAGCTGTCAAAAGTACCGCAACATAAAATAATCGTCAAGATTTATTTAGATGAAACAATCTTTCTAAATACATCTTAGAGAGACCTAAAGAAGAATGTATTATCGTACCGGACAGCATCTCGCTTCAAACCATAAAAAAAAGAAAAAAAAAATAAAATAATTACTCACCGCTTGTTAAAGTTTTTCTCAGCGGCTGGAGATTGCTCAAGCTAGTTACACTACTACTCTCCGCGCTGAGATCGACGGGGGCGGTAGAGTGGAAGGAGTATCGCTGTGGGATCGCTCGTGCATCGGTACTCTGCTACCAGATCCTACTCTTCTAGGTGCACCTGGACTAGGCTCCAAACCACTTGAGTGCAGCGCCAATCCCGGTACAGGTAAGGGTGGTGGACAGTGCTTAGGTTGATACGGTCGCGTTTTATGAGGATCTGACAGAGCCAACATTTTCCTAACTGCTTGTGGCGATGCAGCGCCGAATTTTGTACCTGAAAATTCATAATCAAATACATTATATAGATATATAGAATAAATTCTTCAAATTTATTATAAAGTAACTGACAAAGATTTACTCTAACCTTGTATACTCTTCCTGCCTTCACTGGTACTACTGGCACTACTGGTAGTTGACAGAGTAGGCGATGGATGTCTTCTTCCCCGACTGCCTCCCAGTGGCACCGCAGCGGCAACCGCAACGGCTCCTGCATGTGGCTCACAATCGACAGAAAGTTGATGCAACCGTTCCTCATCGGTGATCACTTTCATATTTGCAAGGTAGGCTTTCACTCTTCGAACCATCTGCGCTTCCTCAAACATTTTCTTCGGATTTGGTGCCGCCGTCGATTTTTTTCGTCGCTTTACTGTCGCCGTTTGGCCGCCTATAAATCGCAATAAATATAAATATATAAAGACCATATTTAGAAATTAACTCGAAAATAAAAAAAAGAACATTACAAGAAACTTACCTTGATTGCCAGTAGTCATTTGATTCAGAGCAACCATGGCGGAACTTGGTGGTTGCCCACCTCTTTCTAGCATAGTTAGTAGATCATAGGGCGAAGAACACATATTCGTTAGCGTTCTCACTTCCTTGGCGATCATTCTGAGTTTTTCAAAATTCACTAGACCTTCCACCCTCGAATCATTACCAAGATGTATAAAGGTCAAGTCTTTTTTCACGACCGGATAGAAAGGTATCTAAAACGATAATTATTTTAAAACGGTATTCAATTTTAATTATACTTTGTTCGGTTAATAATTTTGTGTGTGCGTGTGTGTGTGTGTGTGTGTGTGTGTGTGTGTGGGGTACACGTTCGAATTATAGAAATATAATAAAATACAAAAGTAAATACAAAAAGAAACTATTGTTGTAAATAAATCACTCACTATCGGTGGTTGCGTTTGTTCAGATGCCACCAACTGCCGGTATTTGCTCATATTACGGCTAGGGTCCATTAATTCTTGTAAATCACTAAATAGTCTTTGATATTTGGTTGGCAGTTTTTCCCATGAAGCTCTTAATCTTGACACTGCGCCATGGCCCAAACCGGACACGATCGCGAACATGGAATTGAAATTTTTGCACTCCTTGCATTGACCTATATAAAAACATATTTGCTTATGTGAAATGCATAAAAATTAAAGAGTAAGGAGAAAGTTCAAAATACTTACGGGCTATTTTAATAAATTGTTTTATAATTTTACTGCGTCGTACAAGATTATGTTCGGAACAAACTTCTGTTACGACCCAGAACATTTCCCTGTTGACTAGTTCTGCAAACTGACTAAGCATGGGTACACCATATCTGCTCTTCAATTCAAATAAATCATCCACGTATTCTGTGGATTCAATTTGTCTACAACAAAATACAATAAAAGTTTTATCATTATAATGGTCACGTCTGATTAAAACAATAATTATAAATTCGGATGTAGATATTTTATAAAATAAAAATTACCTGAATATACTAAAATCCTGTAGAGTCAGTTGTATTGCTACTTCCACAGCATTTAATTGCAAAAAGTGTACTTGAGATTCTCGAATAAGTTCTGGAGCTTGATCGTCGGCTACTAAGGTTTCGGAAATTCCATTAGTTTTCAAGTAGTATCGAGAGCTCAAACCAATTCGTTCCGCAAGATTCTGTAATTGATCAGGTAATCTACGTTGTTTAATCATGCCACCTTCGCCGACGCTCACTTCTGCTAGAGAAAAATTTGAACTGCTTTCCGTTATACCAAATTCTTGAAGCGCAAGCATCACCACCTACAATAAATTAATGCATTAGATAACCCATGTATATTTTTAAGTTATTTAGTTTCAACGATGTTAATTTACTTACCTCGTGCGCCGTCGTTTCTTTATGAATAAGAAGATATTTGCAAGTTTGATCGGATTTGTATACTTTGAGCACATGTTCGGGATAATCGTTTGCCCTCAAGTCATCGTAACAATATAGCGATGTAAGATCTGGATTACTTTTCGAATGATATAGATTGGTAGTAGTTTGCGTAAGCCCTGTTCCCGGTGGTGTATGTGGTGGTGCAAGAGGATCATCCATGTGTACACCGTCGCTGTTAAAATTAAAAAAAGAAAAAATATTTTGTATCGGCAGAAATTACATAAATTTAATTGCATTTGTGCAATATGTTTCAATACACTCACTTGATCGTATTCTTTGGCAGTATGTTCATTTTCATGAGTGCTTTTTGTAATCGCCGTTTAGGTCCAAGAGTCATAAATCCCTTGTGCTCTTTTTTAGCATCTTTGCATGGTGATACATTATTGTCCGGAATTAATAACGGAACTCCACCAATCATGGGATTCAAAGGATTCACTGGTGTCATGGGATCCACATGCGTTGATAATCTAGCTCGTGGATCTGACTGAAGTCTTGGTAATTCTGGCTTATTTGTTCTGCCTCGCGGTCTCGGGGAATTGTCTGGCATTTGAAGCATTTCTTTAAAAGCTGCAAAAATAAATAAAATTAAGATTCCTGACTAATCACCGTGGCCATATTGGAATCGTCACTTCACAAGCGAAAAATGACAATAAAATTTATTGCATCTAATTTGTAAAATAAAGAGATATTTTACTAAACAATATTTGAGATTGGCTTTAAGACACTTATAAAAATGGACGGCTATTCTTTTCTCTCCTGATACTCAATAAATAGCCAATAATATTATTTCTAATTTATATAAACTAAACTTACCAAGCAAATTAGATTTTACAGTTATACTGAGATGTGTAGAAGCTCTTAGAATATCAAGAGCTTTCGCGTGATTTACATGCTCGAAACTTTGACCGTTTACTTCTAAAATCTGATCTCCTCGCTTTAAACCAACATCTTCAGCCTTAGATCTCTTATCAACTTTTGAGATGAATATACCAAAACCTCTTTCGAATCCCCCTAAGATGCTAAAATTTAAGACTTCATCCCTGTTTGGCCTAGCTAATGTAACATTCCGCGTTCTTGCTTTCGCCGCACATGCAATATTTAACAACCTAAAATTCCAAAATAACAGTTACTTTCTCTTTAATATATATTGTCTTTTAAAAATAAAATTAAAAAATTAAGATTTACCTTTGTTGTCCTAACATCTTTTCTTTTTCCAGTCCAGTTTCAAATGCTTCTAAAAATTCCATCATCGCTGGATCAGTCTCGAAATCGGTAAAATGATTGTTCACCCATAAAAGCACAACGCGAGCCACACGATCTCGCACTTGCGCTTGATCAAACCACTGCAACAATTGACTTGCCACTAACAATGGACTATCAATGAATGTTCGATGAGTCAATAAAAAATCTTCCACGTAAGTAGGATCCGTAATACTGTTTTCTTCAATGAGCTGTAACATCAAACGCTCGGGCGTTCCCCGAATAACCACATGACCCCTTCGCGCGGCGCCATCCAAGGCTCCTCGCAATTCAGTCACTAGAATTACTCTTCCATTCTCTTCGTGTCTCCTAGTATTTTCTTCGCCTTGATGCTGTATTCGAAAATAGTCCGCTTGCGTGACACAAACGAATTGACAATCATCGCACCTACAGATAAAAAAATCGCATTTTTGTTTTTCTATATCATTTCAAATATCAATCCAGTATCTATACAAGAAAAACCATTACAAACTTTGTTCTCATAACTCCACGATGTAACAACCTTTCCATAGTAGGCAAGATACCAAAGCTGTCTCCAAGACCGAGTTGTTCAATTTCGCCATTGCTATGTTCGATCTCAACAGCACCATTGATTAACACGCTCCAACTGTCAAGTTCCTCGCCATCATTCAAAACCACCATTCCAGCACGATCGACCACTGCAAATACCATCACAGCGCACAGAGCTCTTCTGACAGCCAGTGTCATGTTTGTAAAAGCTTTCAATTGTTGCGTGAATTCTAAAAGCGTCTCTATATCATCCTCTGTTCTCTCAACAGGATCTTTTTCTAAACATTCTCGTACAGGATCGCGTACTGTCAAACTCTGAAATATTAAAATAAAAATTAGAATCGTGTCTAATGTATATCTAAGGAAACTCAATAAAATCAATCATACTTACGTCCATACTTTCTGCCAAATCTTCTTCCTCATCGCTATCAACAATGGACTCCACAAGTCCTGACAGATCTACCTCATCAGGATCTGCATCTAATGAACTTTGTACAGATGTCATGGTGTCAGATCCACTGTATGCTGAACTTGTGTCACTCGAATGGCTGCTCCTATTTGACTTTTGATACAGCTCTGGCCTGCCTGTCAGGCCTTGCGAGAACTATAAAGAAAAATTTTATCAACTTATTTAATATTACTTTTAAATTTTTATAACAAGATTTACATGTTGGTTTTTAATAAATATGATATTATAAACTATAAATTACTTGATATTATTTTTACAATTAGAGTTTGTTTCATATAAAATTTCTTTAGGTTTATTATTTATTAATCTTATTGTATCATTATCCAATGTTACATTATTATGTATGTTCATTGTAGAATACTATGCAAATCAGTATAAAGAAATCTTTGATAACTAGATAAAGATATTCATGATAAAAATTGGTATTGGAATAATGAGCAATAGAGAAAAACATTATGTTGATACAAAAGTTCTGTTACTTGTTATTTATATATATATAAACAATCTACAAGTCTAAACTGCATAAATTGTAAAAATAAATTATTATAAACCATAATGCAATAATAATTCAACATTTTTCCCATTTGATGTAATTCTCCTCAACATAATGACTTCAAACAACAATAACACGCGTTTAAAAATTCCAAAACAATGATTCATGAAGGAGACTTAAGAAGATGATTCGAAACGTTGTTCCTGAATATCAGAGTCAACCTATGCCTGCATAGATTTAGAAGCGGAACAAAAACATCGACGACGACGCCGCCGCTCGCTTGCTAACAGGAAAGTAGGAAATACCAAGAATGGGCGTGATTGGGACAGGCTTTCGTTCGCGGTTTAGGTTAGGTCATAATGATATGACATCACTCACGCACGCACGCACGCACGCATGCATGCACGCAGCCGTGCATCGGAAGTATGTGCGTGGGTGTATTTCTCGCTCGCGCCATATATATATATAT